AAATGAAAGTGTAATTATATTATTATAATTAATTTTATTTATTTATTTTATTATTTTTATTTTTATAAAATTAATAGTTTTAATAATAAAAAATAATAATATTTTAAAAAATATATTTTTATTTTTATAAAATTAATAGTTTTAATAATAAAAAATAATAATATTTTAAAAAATATATTTCTTTGCTTTTAAACATGTCCTTATTAATCATTTAATGTTAAATAATAACTGTTAATTATTGTATAACTAAACAATTATATTTATCAAATTTATTATTTATCATTCGTTATCCACTTTCTGCTATATACCGTCCATCATTCATTATCTATAATCTACTATTTGCAACTGTCACTTACTATTCATTACGCTATTGTTATCTATTATTTGTTATCACTGAGTTTTAAGGACTATACCAAACAGTCTTAAATCCAAAAAAAAAAAAAGAAAACGTACCGTAACAAGGCAGAATTTCAACCGTAGACAAAAAGTATATCTGACAAATATGGCTCAGCATGACGAAAAAGATATTGTACTGTATTATATTTTGAATCTTCAACAGCGGCTTGCAGGAGAACCTGCTAAGGTTCTCATCCTCCTTGGATTCTTCCACCTAATAAACAACGATGTGGAAAGGAACGGAGGAGGCAGAAATTTTGTTGATTGGCTATTTATTTTTCTCTTCTGATGATGCAGATGTTTAGGGAGTAATTTTCGTATATTTTAAAATTAATTTGTTTTTAAATAATTTTAAAAATATACTTACTACAATGTCAAACTATGTATTAAAGAAATTAATTTTTTTTAATTTAGAATTAAACTGGATAATATTTATTTATCAGTTGAAACAATTATTAGGGTTGATTGCTAATTTCATTAAGCCTAGTGTAGCAATTACTCATTTAAAATTATAGTATTAAAACAAATCATTATTTAAAAAAATATTGATGTAATTTGTTATTTTATATTTTAATTTTTAAAAAATTAATTGAAATAATTACTATTAAATTTATTAAGCTATTACTTTTTAAGTTTAACAAAAAATTA